ATTGAGTTCAAGTTTCAAAGCATTGTGGTCTGAAAATATGTAGGGAATGATCCCAATCTTTTTGTACCAGTTGAGACCTGATTTGTGGCCCAGTATGTGATCTATTCTGGAGAATGTTCCATGTGCACTTGAGAAGAATGTGTAGTCTGTTGCTTTAGGATGGAATGCTCTGAATATATCTGTGAATTCCATCTGGTCCAGTGTGTCATTCAAAGCCCTTGTTTCCTTGTTGATCTAATGCTTAGGTGATCTGTCCATTGCAGTGAGTGGGGTGTTGAAGTCCCTTACTATTATTTTATTATTATTAATGTGTTTCTTTCATTTTGTTATTGATTAGTTTATATAATTGCCTGCTCCCATGTTGGGGGCATAAACATTTGCAATTGTTATATCTTCTTGTTGTATAGACCCTTTAATTATGATATAGTGTCCTTCCTCATCTTTTATTATAATCTTTGGTTTAAAATCTAATTTGTCTGCTATAAGGATTGCTACCTCAGATTTCTTTTGATGGCCATTAGCATGATAAATGGTTTTACACCCCCTCACTTTCAATCTGGAGGTGTCTTTGGGTCTAAAATGAGTCTTGTAGACAGCATATGGACGGGTCTTTTTTTGTTATTGTTTTTAGGGGTTTTTTTGTTTTTTTTTTATCCAATCTGATTCCCCCTTTTGATTGGAGCATTTAATCCATTTACATTCAGAGTAATTATTGAAGATATGAATTTGGTGCCATTGTATTACCTGTGAAGTCACTGTTTCTATATATTGTCTCTGTTCCTTTCTGGTCTATGTTACTTTTGGGCTGTCTCTTTGCTTAAAGGATCCCCTTCAATATTTCTTGCAGGGCTGGTTTAGTGATCACAAATTCTTTTAGTTTCTGTTTGTCCTGGAAGCTTTTTATCTCTCCTATTTTGAATGACATCCTGCTGGATAAAGTATTCTTGGCTGCGTATTTTTCTCAATTAGTACCCTGAATATATCATGCCAGTCCTTTCTGGCCTGGCAGATCTCTGTGGATAGGTCTGCTGCCAGTCTGATGTTTCTACCCTTGTAGGTTATGGACCTCTTGTCCCAAGCTGCTTTCAGGATTTTCTCTTTGTCTCTGAGATTTGCAATTTTCACTATTATATGTCGAGGTGTTGAGCTATTTTTATTGATTTTGAAGGGGATTCTCTGTGCCTCCTGGATTTTGATGCCTGTTTCCTTTCCCAGATTAGGAAGTTCTCCACTATAATTTGCTCCAATATACCTTCTGCCCCCCTCCTTTCCTCTTCTTCTTGGATCCTAATTATTCTAACATTGTTTCTCTTTATGGTATCACTTATCTCTCAAATTCTCCCCTCATTATCCAGTAGTTGTTTATCTCTTTTTCTCAGCTTCTTTATTCTTCATTTTGTCTTCTATATCACTAATTCTTTCTTCTGCCTCATTTATCCTAGCAGTTAGAGCCTCCATTTTTTATTGCATCTCATTAATAGCTTTTTTGATTTTGACTTGATTAGATTTTAGTTCTTTTATTTCTCCAGAAAGGGATTCTCTAGTGTCTACTATGCTTTTTTTTCAAGCCCAGGTAGTATCTTTGTAACCATTATTCTGAACTCTAGTTCTGATATCTTATTTACATCCATACTGATTAGGTCCCTGGTAGTCAGTACGGCCTCTTGTTCTCTTTTTTTTTTCCTGTTCTCTTTTTTGAGGTGAGTTTTTCTGTCTTGTCATTCTTGCAGAATGTGGTAGCTTTTCTATTTGTAGAGTTTCAGCTAATCTTTTCTTATATCTCTGATTGAATTCACAGGTGTTCAGAATGATTTGATAGCTATCTATCTGAATTCCTGGGACCAGACAAAACTAAGATCTCCTACTCCTCTGTTATCTTGGACTATCTCCTCCATGTATTTTTTAATTTCTTATTTGATTTCTTCATTGACCCAGTGGCTGTTTAGTACCATATTGTTTAGCCTCCACATGTTTGTGCTTTTTCTGTTTGTTTTTTTTCCTTGTAATTGATGTCTAGCTTCATTCATACCAGTTGTAGTCAAAAAAGATGCTTGGTATGATTTTAATCTTCTTAAATTTATTTAGGCTTCTTTTGTGGCCTAACATGATGTATCCTGGAGAATGTTCCATGTGCAGTGGAAAAGAATGTGTATTCTGTTGTTTTTGGATGGTAATTTCTGTATATGTCAAGTCCATCTGGTCTAATGTGTTTGTTGTTCAAAGACACTGTTTCCTTACTCATTTTTTACCTGGGTGATCTATTCATTGATATGAGTGGGGTGTTACAGTCCCCTACTATTTATCATATTGCTGTCAAGTTTTCCCCTTGTGTCTATTAATATTTGCTTTTTTTAGGTGCTCCTATATTGGGTACATAGATAACTACAATTATTATATCCTCTTGTTTATTGATCCCTTTATCATTATGTAGTGCCCTCTTTGTCACTTGCTACAGTCTTTAATTTTGAGTCTATTTTGTCTGATATAAGTATTGCCCCCTGGCTTTTTTTTTTTTACTTCCATTTTCATGGCATATCTTTTTCCATCCCTTCACTTTCAGTCTGTATGTGCCTTTAGGTCTGAAGTGAGTCTCTTGCAGGCAGCATATAAATGAGTCTTATTTGTTTTATCCATTTTGTCACCTTATGTCTTTTTTTCAAGCATTTAGACTATTTACATTTAAAGTAATTATTGATAGATATTTACTTATTGCCATTTTATTAATTGTTTTCTGGTTGTTCTTGTAGTTCTTCTCTATTTCCTTCATCTTCTCTTACTCTTTTTCCTTGTGAGTTGTAATTTTCTTTAGTGTTTTGCTTGTCTTTATTTCTCTTTATTTTCTGTGTATCTATTATAAATTTTTGGTTTATTATGAGGTTTTATATAACATCCTAAGTATATTGCAGACTATATTAAGTTGATGGTCTCTTAAGTTTGAACTCATTTTAAAAGTACTTCATTTTTTTCTTCTCCCTTCACAATTTATGTATAAGTTTATTTTATTTTACATCTTTTTATTTTGTGAATCCCCTTAACTAATTTTTTAGAATTGATTTTACTACTTTCATCTTTTAACCTTCATAATAGTTTACAAGTGATTGCTTTATGACCTTTTTGTATGTTTGCTTTTACTTGGAACAGTTTTCCTTTCATATTTTTTTTACTTTTTTTATTCTAGTTACCCTTTTAGACTGTGGCTTTTTTTCTGCACCCCAGGGCAGATGAATCTACTCATGGTCCTTAAGTACTGCTGTTGCTCCCCACTTCAGTTTGCAGTGTCGGGGTGGGGATTCTTTTTCTTACTGTGTCTCCATCAATATTTTGTGCTGCAGAAGCTATTCAGTCAGCCCTCAGGAGGAATTCCTATGTAAATAGGTGTAAATTTGGTGTGTCTGTGAAGGAGGTGTGAGTTGAGAGTCTTCCTGTGTCACCGTCTTGGAATAGACCTTCCAAGTTTTCTCTTCTTCCTTCCACCCCTAAAGTGCCACACCAAGACAGCCACTAATGCAGAAGACTGATTGATTTGATTCGTGCTTAGGCCCCCATTAAAAGGCTATTTCATGTCAATAATACTTTAAGCCACACTGTTTTTTTTTTTTTTCCCTCCCTCTTACTTCGACCCAAGAGCAGCTTTGACTGCAGAGGGGGAGAAGGTATTCTGCCAGTGATGTGTGCCATCTTATACTTTTGCAGAATGAATCTTATTCCCAGAACTGTAAGTGGAAATTTTCCCATTTCTGCCCCATCTGCCTCCAGCCTTTCATATGTATTCTGCAGCAGTGGTCAAACAAATGTCTTTTACTCTGCTCTTTCTGGGTAATGAAGAAATTTCCCTTCTCAGAGTATATCAGTATAACATTCTACTCATAACCTGGATCATTTTATTCTCTGAAAAGTGTAAATTATTCACTTCCTTCTCTCCAAATTTCTTAATATTTTTAAGTCATCCCAAGAAATGAAACTCTGACTTTAAACCACTGCAAAGCTAAACACTGAGGCAATAGGAATGTTTTCTATAGTGACTCAAGTTTAATATCAAGTTCTGGATATAAACGAATAAAAACATTTCTTTAATTCACTGAGCATCTTCTTCCCCATCCTGCTCTCTCATGATCCAAAATCGTAAGTGCTCTTTTTTTGAAAGTTTAAAATTTTTCATATGTACCACCTGGTGCTACTTTGAAGTGAGTATTTAATTCCAGGAGTCATTAAATTACTGAATTACTTCATTTTGTGGAATAACTCTCCTGTATAGTCATTCAAAAAAATGTTCACTGAGCAAATACCATATTTTGGGCATGTTTCTGGGTGTTTAGAATTCATCAGTGAAGTCAACAATGAGACCTACTCTCACAGAGCTTCCATTGTAGGAAACAAAAATATACAGTAGTGCCTGTCATTTGTTAGAAGGTAATAACTGCTATGAAAGTATGTATGTAGATGAGGGTAAGGAGGCTCACAACACTGCAGAGGCTGCATGTAACCTTCATTTTTAATTTTAACTTTTTATTTATTATACAAAGTGGGGAACTGATTCCTGTAAGACTTTGTTACTTATACCTGATCACACATTTAAAAAAAAAAAAAAAAAGATGAGTGATTTAGCCTGAGTTCTTGTTTCTAATAGGATGTTGCTTTCATTAAATAAGTCTGTCCCATTACTATGATTAAAGTCTTAGATGTGTATCAGATTAAAAGCCTTGCACATTCCAAGTGAAAATCCAAGCAGCATTTACTGGGCAAAAAAATATGATGTTAAAAAGATTTGTTTTAGTGATAAAAGAGGTGAATTTTATAAAGCTTTAAAAAAAATTTCTTCATAGAGAACTGCCATGTCAGGTTGTCTGCAAAATTGGTTTCACTCTGCTTCCTTCTGTGTTACATTTTCTAGAGTGGAAACTCTGAAATGTGAAATGCTGAGAAAATGATGTTTTGTGGGTTTTGTCACTAACTGGTAGGTCCCTTTGAACTTGCAAATGACTGTTGTTTCCTTCTTTTAGTTTAGCTACTTGGAGAAGCTTCTGTTGGTTCATGGAGCTTGGAATCATTTTCGAGTGACGAAATGCATATTGTATTGTTTCTACAAAAATGTAGTGTTATACATTATTGAGGTAAGAAGAGAGATACACTTTCTTTCATGGAAAAGTTAGGTCTTTGACATCAGTCTTGGTAGTTTAGGTTTTTTTTTTTCCATATTCGTGTCACTTAAATTACCATTACATAATTCTGTTTTAGGTTTTCACTCTAAGTTATTCAGTAAATTTGAATCTTCTAACCACCATCCTGACTTTAAAAATACCTGTTCAACCTTTAATTTGGCTATGGAAATATATTTTGAAATATTTTATTTTGCAATAATTATAGATTCACAGGAAGTTACAAAAATATTTTTAGGAGGTCCTGTGAAACATTCACCCAATTCTCCCTAAAGAACACCTTGAATAACTCCAGGACAATATCAAAACCAGGATATAACCAACAGAGTTTTTTCATATTTCACCAGCTTTACACACACTTGTGTGTGTGATTCTGTGTACTTTTATCCACATGCAGATTGAGGTAAACACCACAGAAATCAAGGCAGAGGCCTCTTTCCCTCCCCAACCCTCCCCCAATGATATAGACCTGTTCCCTCACCACAAGGATCCCCCTCATGCTATCCCTTTATAGCCACATCCATCCCTAACCCCTGACAGTGACTAATCTGTTCCCTATCCTAATAAGTTTGTTTTTCAAGAATGTTATAAAAGTGGAAACATGTAGTATACAACCTTTTGAGATCGGATTTTTTCAGTCTGTATAATTCCCTTGAGATTGATACAAGTTATTCCCTGTATCATTTGTTCCCTTACCATAACATTTATCATCCACCTGTTGAAGAGCATTTGTGTGTAGGTTTTGTGCAAACACAAGTTTTCACTTATTTAGGACAAATGTCCAAGAGTACAATTGCTGGATCATATGGGAAGTGCATGTTTAGTTTTAAAAGAAACTCCCAACTAATTTCCAGAGTGACTTTACCATTTTCAGTTCCCACCAGCAAAGCATCTGTTATCTTGTTTCTCTGGATCTTTACCAGCACTTGATGTTATCACTATTTTTTTAGCCTTTCTGATAGATGGGTAGTGATATGTCATTGTGGTTTTAAATTGCATTTCCATAGAGGCTAATGATGTTGAACATCTTCTCATGTACTTATTTGCTATCTTCATATCTTCTTCAGTGAAATGTGTCTTCATATTTTTTTGTCCATTTTCTAATTGAATTGTTTTTTCACTCTTAAGTTTTGAGAGTTCACATATTTTAGATGTTAGTCCTCTGGCAGGTAAGTAGTTTGCAAATATTTTCTTCCAGTCTGTATCATGTTGTTTTGTCATCTTAATAGTCTTTTGGAGTACAAAAGTTTTTAATTTTGATGTGGTCTGATTTATATATTTTCCTTCTATGGATAATGCTTTTTGTTCTATATCAAAAAGCTCTTTGCCTAGCTCTAGATTCCAAAGATTTTCCTCTATGTAGTTTTCTAAAAGTGTTTTACACTTAATGTCATGATTCATTTTCAGTTAATTTTTGTGTACAGTGGAGGGTTTAGATTGTCTAGTTATTTTGCCCATGGAGATCCAATTACTTCAGTACTATTTGATGAAAAGGTTATCCTTCCATTAAATTGATTTTCCACCTTTGTCAAAAATCAGCTGGGCAAATAATGAAGAAATAGAAAATATGAACAGACTATAGTAAGGAGATGAGATCAGTAATCAAACACCTCCCTGGAAAATTATACCAATCATTCAAAGAAAAATTAACACCAATCTTCCTCAAACTCTTCCAAAAAGTAACAGAGAAAGTAACACTTAGAAACTCATGTCAAAGAGGGATATCCTCTAAATCCATCCATGCTGTTGCAAATGGTGGGATCTCATACTTTTTTTTATGGTTGAGCAATATTTCATTGGATGTATACATATACATATATATATGTGAGTGTATATAGCCTCTTCTTTATCCATTCTTCTATTGATGAACACCTAGGTTGCTTCCACATTTATTGCTTTTGTAAATAATGCTGCAATAAACATAGAGGGGCATAGATCTTTTTGAATTAGGAGTTCTCCTTTCTTTGGCTGGGCCAGTTACAAATGTTATTAGTTGCAGATGCTACAATTTGCTGAAGCCATAGACAAAATCATTCTGAACTTTTACAACTCAATTTCATTCTTTACTGAAGCAATGCATTATTGGACAATGAGATCTAAATATTTCATTGAAATTATTTTTTGATAGAGAATGAAATAAAAATTCTAAAATAAATGGACTGGCTTTCTGTTAGGCTCAAATATTCAAGTTTGATTTTATTTACATTTTGGTAAAATCCCATTTGATGACATGGAAAAAAAAATGATAAAGTACTTCAGTGAATAGAAACACTTAGGTCAATACAAAACTTCTTGAACTTTCTTTTCTTTCAGCTTTGGTTTGCCTTTGTTAATGGATTTTCTGGGCAGATTATATTTGAGCATTGGTTCATAAGCTTGTACAATGTGGTAAGCATTCTCCATCTCTATCTGATAGCATGCTGTTTATGTCTGGGAACTGTATCTAAGCCAATCATCTGCACATAGCAGGCAGCACAAATACATCTTTAGAGCCTTTGTTGCTGCAACACATCTTGCAGAAGCCCATACTCTCCACACATGGTTTCAATCATAGGAGATCATTCTATAGCAACTACATTAAATTTCTATGCAATGCATTTTGATAATACATCCAAAACCTCCTTACTATATGCCTGTACAATGTTTTTAGGCTTTTAAGCCAAGTAATTATTATCGAACTTTACTTCTTTCCATTCTATTTAATACATATAATACATTTAATTAATATTTATTTATATCTGTGTATGTGGGTGTGTTTTTATAGTGTAGTTCCCCAGCCTTTTAAACCTCCTGGTAGAAAATTTGTCCTTTTGTAAATATTTTAACCCTGTGTTTGTAGGAAATGATGAATTTTGATGTGAAGTCCTATAATAAATAAACGGAATCTTCTGAAACTAACAATCCCATACCATTACTTAACTCATTTTAAATTAAGAAACTAGAAATAAACAGTATGGTTAAATGGTCTTTTAATTCACCTTTAAATTTTTGTTTTATTTTTCTTGTTTATTATTCCAGTTTAAAGATTAGAGGTCAGGGAAACCTAGCATAAAAATTAGGTTCCCAGTGAGTATATCATGACCTTTCTTTTGTACTGCATCATCATAACATATTAGAATCTGGATACTCTGTGCCTCAATCCCTAACATTCTGTCTTCTGGGAGCTTGAATTCTGAAACAGCACAGACAAAAGTCATTGAGTGTCCAATAATACAAAAATGTCTAGTGCTATGAATAGTTAGTTGTGTACATGTCAATTCTAGACATATTTGACAAGAGCACTATATCAGTGAACCTGAGGTCATACACATATTTGTCTCTACCAAGCTTTTGGTCACAGATGACAATACTCAATTTTTTTTTTTTAAGTTTCATTACAGACTGGGCTGGAAGAATCTTTGTATGAGAAAATTCACTATGAATGCATAGGCCACAGATATTGGTCAATGGAATCTTTTTTTTTTTTTTTAAATAAAGGAAAGCACAGAGACTGGCTTTTTTATATATATAAATGATGGCTTTAATTGGGAAACTTAAAATTGTGGACATTTTAGGATAATATATGATGACTTATTAATATCCATTGACTTATTAAATCTTATCTCATTACATATATATTTTACAGATGGGAGAAAGATGAAGCCTAGGACATCAAATAGTTACTGGCCATAAGAGAGTTAGATTGCTTATTTAATAACTACATTTAAAAAGGTAGTCATACTGTTTCTGGAGGTCCTATATTATTTCTGTTTCTGCCCATGCATGACTAACTGCTATAGGAATTACCCTCCTACCAGAAATAACCTACAGTGTCAGCCAAAATATATAAAACAATGGTTTTCAAACATTAAACAAAAGGCTGCTCATGGCTGTGATCATTGAGAAGGACTATTTCCAAGCCACAGTGCAGGACAATGGACCCAAAAGAAGGCCCAGGTATCTTAATGAGTTGAAGACACAGAGGTTGGAGCTCAGTGGGCCCAGGTAGCTAGAATATCAAAGAGGGAACTGTACTGAGAGAGAGACAGAAAGAATGACTGAAGATCTGTAGAGAGCTCCCTTGAGTCTTTGGTTCTGGTCTGTGTATGCATGAGAAAAATCTACCCAAAGCCAGGGAAAGAACTACCAGAAAGCAGTAGGATGAATTCTTGGAGTTAATTCAGGGCTAGGAATAACTAGTTACACATGATATTGGGAAAACTTAATCAAGTTACACTTTTAAAAATAAGGATAAATTAGACCTATAATAAACACTATTCTGGGCCCATCATAACAAAACTTAAAAGCAACCTTAAAAAAACCATCAAACTAATTTGCAAGTCACTTACCTGCAAATCAGACACAGGCAAACAATATTTAAAGAGCTGAGATGTCCTTCAACAGATGATGGATAAAGAAGATGTGGTTCATATATACAATGGAATATTACTCAGCCATCAGAAAGGATGAAAACCCATTTGCATCGACATGGATAGAACTGGAGGGGATTATGCTAAGTGAAATAAGTCAAACAGAGAAAGACAATTATCATATGGTTTCACTCATATGTGGAACATAAGGAATAGCATGGAGGACCACAGGGGAAGGGAGGGAAAACTGAATGGGAAGAAATCAGAGAGAGAGAAAAACCATGAGAGACTCTGGACTCTGGGAACCAAACTGAGGGTTACAGAAGGGAGGAGAGTGGGGGGATGGGGTAACCAGGTGATGGGTATTAAGGAGGGCACATGTGGTGATGAGCAGTGGGTGTTATATGCAACTAATGAATCGTTGAACACTACATCAAAAACTAATGATGTACTATATGTTGGCTAATTGAACATAATAAAAAATAAAAATAAACTTAAAAAAGAAAAAAAAAGAAATAGAGGCTAAGGGGGTTCCAAAGCCACAGAAAATATCTAATATATACAAATAAACTAAAAATAATGAATTGAAAAAAATAAAGAACAAAATTAAGTACTCAAGAACACAAAATTCATAGTTGTGCATCCAATAAAAGATATCAGTCATGCAAAGAAATAGGAAAATAAGATCCATGTGAAAAATAAGTCAATGAGAACAGATATAAAAATTATAAAGTTGTTAGAAAGAGTAGATAAGAACTTAAAACAGGTATTTAAATCTTATAAACATGTGCAAGAATATAAAGGAAGAAATGAACGTAATGAGGAGAACAACAGAAGATATAGAAAAGAACCAAATAGAACCTTATGATGAAAAATACAAATAGAAAATGGACATTTTTCTGGATGGGATTAAGAGCAAATTAGAAACTTCAGAAATAGGATCAGTAAATATGAAGACATAGCAATTATAGATGCACAGAGAGAAAAATCAGAAAAACACACAAATGTTCTTCTTAACCTAATTGTTGCAAATCAGTGACCAAGAGAATAATCTTTAAATCAACCAGATAAATATTATGTATAGAAAATAAATGTAGGAGTAAAAGCAGATTTCTCATTGAAAACCATGCAGGGCAGAAGACAATGGAATATCTTTAAAGATCTTAAAGAAAGAAAAAAAAATCCATTAACCCAAAATTCTATATGCAGCAAAAATGTCTTTTGAAAATAAACCAAGAAAATAGAAAATTTATCACCAGAAGACCTATAATACTTGAAATGTTAAAGGAAGCTCTTCAAACAAAAGAAAAAGTATACCAGGATGAAATTTGGATCTATCCAAAGAAATAAAGAGGAACAGAAATGTTAATTATGTCGGAATTAATAAAAGGCTTACCCTTTTCCCCTCATTTTCAATCATGATGACAGATAACTGTTAAAGCAAAATTAATAACGTATTCTGGGATTTGTCATTAATTTAGAATAAAAATGTCTGATAACTATAGCACAAAGAATGGGGGGAGGGATTTGAGAGTGTACTATTATCTGAATTTTGTGATACATTGCATATGTATACTGTAAACCTTAAAGAACAACTAAAACCCCCCAAAGTTATGGCTAATGAACCAATAATGGAGATAAAAATCTTAGTATTTCAATTACTTCAAAAGAAGTCAGTAAATAAGGTAGAGAGGAAGACTAAATGCAACAAATAGAAAAAACAGGAAGATGGGAGATTTAAATCCAACCACATTTATAATTACACTGAAATGCAAGTGGTCTAAATATTCTAATTAAAAGGCAGATATTGTCAGATTGGATTAACAAAATGAAAACCTACTTCAAATATAAAGGCACAGATAGGTAAAAAGGAAAAGGATGGGAAAAGATTTACCTTGTAAACAATAATTAAAAAAAAAAAGCCAAAGTGGCTATATTAATAACAGAAATAATAGCCTTCAGAAAAATAAATATGGCTAGTGATGAAGATGAATATGTCTTAATTATAGTGTTAACTTATTAATAACACAGAATCCTATGTAAGAATAACATAGCTTATTAGAAACTAATTAGAAATGAAGCAGATATTGATATAATTAAATGGCAAGTTAAGTAAATCAACTCTTACATTCAGAGACTTAAACTCTCTTGAATGAACAGGGTCTGGGTGTCCTAGCCAACCTATCACCTCCACGAGCCCTGGGACACCAATCTACACCAGCACCAGCCATTTGTTTCTGATGAGCACTAAATGCTTCTATGAAAAACCTACAGCTAACATCATACCTAATGGCAAAGCCTGTTCCCTTAAGATGAAGAACAGGAGAAGAATGTATGTTTTTACCACTTCTATTCAACATCATCCACAGGTCCTAGCCAGTGTAATAAGACCAAAAAAAAAAAAAAAAAAAGGATGATTGACAAAGAATAATGCTTGCTTTAGTTGCTGTCAACATTCTGTACAAAATTCTAGAAAATATACTTAGGTCATATGTTGTGTTAGATTGTTATAATAAAGGTCCCCAAATTTGCCCATGCCCTTCTGTATCCACATCTTTTGGTGTACCCACTCACACTGACTCTGAGTTTGGTCATGTGATTGATTTAGCCAATGAGACAACAGCAGATACAAGAAGCCCAAAGATGTGAAAAATGCTTGCTCATTGAAGCTCGCACCATCTTGTTGCTCTTTGTGAAGAATCCCTGGTTAAACTGCCATAGAAACAAACAATATGGAGCAGAAATATGTCACTTCTATCTTCCTGCTATTTTCCTCTCATTTTCTTTCCCCTCTCCTCCTTTCCTCTTCTTTCTCCTTTTTTAACTTCTCCCTTACTTCACCATTTTTTTTTCTCATATTATTATACCTACTATTACAAGATTCCCTCCTTGACAAGGTCCAGAACTTTTTAAAGGATCATGTATTTTTCATTTAATATGGTTGCTAGCATAATGATTCTTAGTAAAATATTTGAAGAGTAAATGAGTAGGAAACATCCCTTTGTTTCTGATAATAACTATCAAGATAAAGAATTTTTGTGTATTTTTTTTAATCGAACATTCACAACACTATTTACTGAATAACTACTACCTACCAAGACCTGGCAAGTGAACTAGCTTATAAAACCAACTGGTTCTTATTAGGGATACAGATATCATTATTGGTAGACATATTGGTCAGTATCATGCCTATTATTTAAATATCTAGATATTCAATTTATTTTTATGCTCATTAAACAGAAGAAGAAATTTATTCATTTTATGCTCATAAAGCAACATTTACAGTTTCAAATCAATCAGAAAAATTAAGTCATGATTTGTTAAATATGTTTGAATCTATGTGACTCATTAATATCGTCTTTGTAAATAATTTTTGTTTTTAAATAGCGTATAAGACTTACCAGTCGATGCAAAAACAGTTCTGTGTACCCTTCAAACAATTTCCCCCATAATGATATCTTAATAGTTGTAATACATTATCAAAGTCAGGAAATTGACATTGCTACAATATTAACTCCATTACAGACTAAAAGTTCTTTTTACTAAATCCTTGTTTTCTATGTAGATTTTCACTTCATTACCACCTTTTACTCTGGGGATCTTTGAACAGTGTTGCAGTCAGAAGAGCCTGCTTACATATCCACAGCTCTACAGGATTTCTCAGGCAGGGAATACTTTCAACACAAAGGTAAACAGAAGATTTATTGCAGGCCTTTCATCTCAACTTAACGCCAAAGTTACCTTTGGTCTTTTCCTTTTCTGATGCTTAAAAAAATAATTCACAAACCAAGGGATGCAGCCCTGTGCAATCATTTACCTTGTAGTTTAGTTTATCCAGGAAATTGAGGTTTAAATAATAATATGTGGGGAAGAGAAGCCTTAAAAAAAAAGAAGCAAGGCACCATGTAGGGTCCCACAAATTGTGCACTGAGCAGCTTCAGGAGGCATGTTGCGCAATGGGGCAGTCCTGGAAAATACTTTTCTTCGTCTTTTTAGATGAGACAAGTGATTCTTTTGGAATGATTTCTTCCTGGGATCATGGAGTTGAGATTTAACAGGGGAATTAAAGGCATTTTATAGGCCATAAAAGTAAACCTAATTGCATCTCAATCATTAGTGAAGCTTTAAAAAAATATAGACACCTGCAAGTATCTTTTCAAACTAGTGTTTTTGTTTTCTTTGGGTAAATACCCAGTAGTGCCATACTAGATCACATGATAATTATATTTTTAACTTTTTGAGGAACTTCCATACTGTTTTCCATAGTGGGTGTAGCAATTTGCATTCTTACCAACAGTACACAAGGGTTCCTTTTTCTCTACATTCTTACCAACACTTGTTATTTCTTGTATTTTTTATTTCAGCCATTTTGATAGGTGTAAATTGATATCTCATTATGGTTTTAATTTACATTTCCATGATGATTAGTGATGTTGAGCATCTTTTGATGTGTCAGTTAATCATCTGTTAGGTCTTCTTTGGAAAAATGTCTATTCAGGTCCTCTGCCCATTTTAAATCACATTATTTGGGTTTTTTTTTTTTTGGTATTATATATTTTGTTCTTTATATATTTTGCATATTAATCCCTATGCACTCCTATATTTATTGCATCATTATCTGCAATAGCCAAAATATGGAAGTAACCCAAGTGTCCATCAATAGATGAATGGATAAAGAAGATGTGGTATATATATATACAATGGAATATTACTCAGCCATAAAAAGAATGAAACCTTGCCATTTGCAATAACATGGATGGACCTAGAGGGTATAATGCTAAGTGAAATAAGTTAGAGAAAGACAAGTGCCATATGATTTCACTCATATGTGGAATTTAAGAAACAAACAAGTGAACAACAACAACAACGAGTAAAAAAGTAGACTCTTAAATACAGAGAACAAATTGGTGGTTGCCAGATGAGAGCTGGGTAGGAGGATGGGTGAAATAAAGAGAATCAAGAGTACGCTTATCATGATGAGCACTGAGTAATGTTTAGAATTATTAAATCATTATATTGTATACCTGAAACTAATATAACACTGAATGTTAATTTTACTTCAATAAAAAAATATAGACACCTGGAAAAAACATGGGCCTTTTAAATATATTGCTTCATGGCTCAGAATATGGTCTATCTTATAAATATTTCATCTTAGCTTGTACAGAATGATTAAATTAGGTCAAATTCATAGTGTTCAAACTTCTACATTTTTTTTTTTTTAAAGATTTTTTATTTATTTATTTGAGACAGAGAGAATGAGAGACAGAGAGCATGAGAGGGAGGAGGGTCAGAGGGAGAAGC